TACTGGTGCAATAATTCGTATTAAAAAATAAACTTGAATCATTGTATTTGTGTTATTTAACTGGTTCACTTGTGAGTACATTTGTAGTTAGTTGTTTTGGAGTTGTAGTAAAAATGGTCGTTGCTGGTTCTTTGATCGATATGAGCAATGTGACAAGTAAATCATAATAAATAGTTAGTCAGTGAATATAATTTATTATCTGCCATCTTTCCTCATAAGAAACCTACTCACTAACACAGAAAATGTTTTCAATATTTCGTAATTTATTGGAAAATGCATGATTGCTTTATCCTATTTGTTTATCTATATTTGTGATAATTTCATAGCATGATTTTGATTACATATATTGTTGGCTAAGCTGATGTAATGGTTACAATGGTAGTTTTCAGTTCTTATAGATTGTGCACCTACATAAAATAATAACCACATCACAATCTTATATTGCCTATACCTTAAAGTGACCTCCTATCCAAAATACTCACTTTGAAATAAGTGTATTTCACAGTTTCAGTAATTAATATAAACAATATCACTCGTTTAACAATATATTCCATATTCTTTTTTACATAATTATCTCAGAATGCATCTAACTCACTGGTTGGGTGCAGACATAAGGTTTAAAACCAAAACATTTTGATTATGACTGATGGGTGGTGGGTGCCACAGGTTGAGCAGTATGTGTGCAATGATTCTCTGTTTGTTTTGTAATGTATTGTCTAATTCCTCGCATACACGATTATACAATTTCCCTACACATTCACACCCTAATGATGTAGCCACGAATTCTGTATGTATATATTCTCTATACTCCAAAATTTATGTGACGTCACCTTGGTCGTGGGTCTCGTATGGCTCGGACTGAAGCGGTCACGATACAAAGATTCACTCGATCAGTATGACGTCATGTTTATTCGCAATACAGACGATTTTTTTACAATTACGAAAGCATTTATAATATCTACAACATATTATTACAAACAACAATAATTCATTATTCTAGAGACATTTACCTGGCTTTATTGTGATTACCTCTGTAGTTGGTAGTGCTGATGTGACAATTGTCGTCGGTGATTCTTCAGTGGAAATCGATTGTGTGGTACCTAATTATACAAAGTAACAGTTATATTCATAAACTGCTTCTATCATATTGAAAAATACTTCCAAAAATTATCTGCCAACATTAAAAGTGTCACAGAGTTTCGTACATATTATCTTGCCTGTGGAAATTTACCTTGTTCAGTTGTAAGCATATTTGTAGTTGGAGGTGCTGAACTGGCAGTGACAGTAGTTGTTGGTTTTTCAGTGGAAATGATTTGTGTAGTTACTAAATATATAAAGGTTACAGTTAGTATACACTCGATTATCACCTACAGCACATTACTACCTACAAACTAAGATGCTCATTCACATATTTCTGAAAATGAAAGTGAATTCCATGAAGTGAAAAGAACGTAAATCTTAGAATTTACCTGACTCAGTAGAATCACTACTCGTTGTGATTGGTGCTACTTCTGTTGAAACGGAACAGCCAGCTGAAATTATTAAATTACATGGTCATTGTGGAGAAGTGACTGAATACATGGTATTGACGACAAAGAAGAATATTCATTATTGATATAATCAGTATTTTAACAACACCCTTACTGATTGGTGTTTGGCATATATATCCTCTCTTTGCATTGCAGTTGTTATCATCCCACTTATATGCGCGTTGTTTCCTGAAAAATATATTTATATAACACTTACGAACATTTCAGAATCGATTATTCGATAACTCGAATAAAAACAATCATTTTCACGACATTTATGTATATTGGTTTGAAGAAGTCATTGGGAGGAAATTGTGAATTAGATTAGATTAATTATGAATAGATGAAAGCCGGTTGTAGTGTCAGGTCGTAAGTGTATTAACTCGATATTTGAACCATCCTTTTAGAACATATACAGTTATTTTTTACGGCGCTTATTGACATTCTAATATAAAAGTCCTAACAACACGTTTTACTCTGGTATGTGTTATACTAAATGTTTCAAAGCTTACCACACTTGTACACAGTCTTGTCCTTGCACGGATTGTTGAACGTTACTATTTGGCTGTCCTTTCGCCCATGCTGTCCATCCAAATACATCTCCATTTAACCATTCAAATGAGCCTTCCGTAGACAGGTCATTAAGTCCTATCCAATACCCACGCACGTCATTATCGAAATTACTATTCATGATAAATGTCCGAACGTTTTGGAAAACTGACTGAGTATGCAATGAAGCCAGCACTCCGCCCATGGATTCACAATGGCTTTTAGATGCATGCCATGTCCTTTTTTCGGTAACCACGTTGTATCTGTCACAGTTTACATCAATGTATAGCAATCCTGAAACGATTATGGTATAAAATGTTGTGTAACATATGTTTCCATGTCATTTACCTGGCTCAGTTGTGAGTACATTTGTTAGAGTTTAGTGGTTGTGAAGTCGTAGAGACAATGTTGGTAGCACAGTATAAATAGATGGCGTTATAACTACAATCACAAGGCTTTCAAGATTTCAAGGGTAATTAGTGCTCACCACTTTATATAGCATACCATCATTATATAAGTTGTATTTACCTGGCTGAATTGTGACTTCATTTGTAGTTGGTGGCATGTTAGTGGATATAATAGTCGCTGTTTGTTCTCCTGTTGTTTTATGTGGTGTAGTTTCTGTCATTACACGCATGTGAATAAAGAACATTATTATACATCTGTCACCGTAACGCCATAAGTTACAGCGTGCCGTAATTTTGCGGTATTTTATATGGTATTTTCATCCTACCATATTTGGAAATGCGAATTCCAAATATGGAATGATTACGTGCGTAAGCGTTCTCTAATAATAAAAACAAACATGGCTGCCACCAGGGTTTGACTGGACTCCATACAAAGAAGTTCGCTGATTCTGTTCTAAAGTGTTTGGAATTCGGCATTCCCATGATGTATCCGTGGAAGAAAAAGTTGTATAATAATAAGGTTATTACGAAGATACCTCAAAGAATGCACTCAGACAGTACGCTGTCGCATCGACCTCCGCTGCAGTTCGTGAGAGTGAAGTAGTATTGAAAATATGATGTCGTTGGTTTCTTTCAGTGGAAATTGATTGTGTATTAACTTAAGACATAAAGTAGACAGGAAGAGCACAGTCATGTGTCATATTCCTACCTCCTAACCCAAATGATCACTCTCGTATAAAATGCTTTCAGCGTTTCGTAACTATATATTTATACCTATTTATTATTATTGTTTTATTGCATTTATTAGCAATATTTACCTTGCTCAGTTGTAAGTTTATTTGTAGTTGGAGGTATTGGACTGGTAGTATCAATGGTCGTTGTTGGCTCTTCAGTGGTTATGGATTGTGTCGTTACTAAATACATAAAGATAAAGTTAGAGAACAATCATCCTACTGGCGCAAATCTGTCGTAAACGTTTCTATATATGTCGCACTGAATGAGTGGCGCTTTTTTTTACAGTGGAGACACTCATAGCATAGAATCTCTTAATAAATGTTATATTGAGTATTAGTAACATTATCGAGTATATACAAGAATGTATGGTACATAGTATACCTAGACATGCTATTGGCATAACTAGACGAATTAGGAAGAAATATGGTAGTTTTTTTTTGAAACTGTAAAGTAGACGCTTGGCGCAGTGATACCGATCCCCTGTTGTGTGAAGAGAGAGAACCTTTGGAGGCACTGCTTTGAATCCCACTCGGTGAGTATCAAATGTGAAATAGCGTTCGCTTTCTAAGTAAAGTTTTTTTTGTTTTCATTATTCAAAGATATGCCAGGTGTATCTCGACCATCTAATGGCATCTGACGTATTTCTCCGTAAAATAATACTTTCCACAAAAGTAGCTAAGATCAACGAGTGGCTGTTCTCGTTGGTATTCAGGTGCGATCTTGTTAGTCTGCATAATTGTAACTTTCAAATAATAATTTTAACTGACTGATTGAGGTTTAGTAAAACGATCCAACCACACAGTGCCTTTCCTATAGTTCATAAAATATTTAAATAATAATAATAATAATAATAATAATAATAATAATAATAATAATAATAATAATAATAATAATAATAATAATAATAATAATAATAATAATAATGTTTATTGTTTTAATCATTGTATTATTCCAATATTTATTTTGATTACCTGGCTTCGTTGAGTGTACATTAGTAGTTGGTAGGACTGAAGTAGAGGAAACACTATTCGTTGTAGGCTCTTCAGTGGAAATGCGCTGTGTAGTAACTAAACACAAAGTAACAAAATACAATCCTCAATTTAACATATTGCTACCTATTTACCAAAGTGAAAATCACAAATGATTTGAAATTGATTGTGTAGTAACTAAATACATGAAGCAAACGTAAGAGCATGATCATAATGTATTCATGCCACAATTCTACCCACTAACCACATGATCACTCATATATAAAATTATTTATGCATGTTACAACTATTTTAACACTACAACTTTGTCAATATGTTGATTCGTAGTATTCACCTTGTTCAGTTGTATGTATATGTATAGTTGGAGTTGCAGACCTGGTAGTGACAGTGGTTTTTGATTATGACTGATATATTTGGTGGATGCCACAAGTTGAACAGCATGTGTACAATCATTTTCTGTTTTTGTAATGTATTATCTAATTGCTCGCATACAAAATTAAGCGATTTCCTCTTACGTTCGCAGCCCAATGACGCAGCCACGAATTGTGACATCATAACAATTGTGACCAAATACTTATATATGCTTGACAATGCCAGACGGTTTTAAACATATGGTAAGTATTTATTCCCCATACCCCTCATTTATGTGACGTCACCTTGGTCGTGGGTCTCGTGTGGCTCGGAGGAATGCGGTCACGATTCACAGATTCACTCGATCAGTATGACGTCGCATTTATTTTAAATACAGACGATTATATACAATTACGAATGCATTTGATGTACAATCATATAATATCTACAATATATTATTACAAAACAACAAGTGGTCTATATTCTAGAGATATATACCTGGCTTCATTGTGATTACTTCTGTATTTGGTAGTGCTGGTGTGACAATGTTCGTCGTTGATTCTTCAGTGGAAATGGATTGTGTGGTACCTAAGTATACAAAGTTACAGTGAGATTCATCAATTACTTCTATAATATTTAAAAAAAAAATACTTAGTACTTCAAAAATATGGAAAAATGCCTGTGGAAATTTAGCTTGTTCAACTAAAGGCAATGAGTGTCATAATGAGTGAATACAATATATAACGAGCACTGTACTGTTTCCGGACATTACATACAAATAAAATGGTTTCAATAGTTTGTAACTTGTTTGAAGAACGCATCCTTGCATATTCTCAACATGTGAATTATTTTGTGGGACTGAAGTAGGGATGATAATGGTCCTCGTTTTTAGTGGATATGGATAGTGTACCAACACATAAAGTAATACATAATGTAATTTTTTACTTATTTCGAATATTTACCTTGTTCAGTTGTTAGCATATTTGTAGTTGGAGGTATTCGACTGGTACTATCAATGGTCGTTCTTGGTTCTTTAGTGGATATGGATTGTGTCGTTACTGAATACATAAAATTAAAGTTAAACAACAATCATTATACTGGTGCAAATCAGCCGTTACTTTAGAGGCAACACTGATTGAGCGGCGCATTTTGTCACTCAAACATAGCATCCCTTATAATATTATATTGAGTATTAATAATAGTATCGAGTATATACAAGAATTTATAAATTTATGGTACATAGTATGGCATAACTAGGAGAATTAGGAAGAAATATGCTAGTTATTTTTAAACTGTAAAGTAGACGGTTGGCGCAGTGATACAAATCACCTGTTTTGCGATGAGAACCTTTTGGGGCACTGCATTGAATCCCGCTCAATGATTATCTAATGCGAAATAGCGTTCGCTTTCCAAGTACAAGTGTTTTTGTTCTCATAATTCAAAAATAAGCGAGGTATATCTCGACCATCCAATGATATGTGATTGTTTTCTCCGTAAAATAATACATTCCACAATAAGTATTCAGTGACCATAAAGTGGCTGTACTCGTTGGTATTCACGTGCGATCTTGTTAGTCTGCATAATTGAACTTTCAAATAATAATTGTAACTGAATAATTGTGGTTTAATAAAACGATCCAACCACGCAGTGCCTTTCATAATTCAACTTTATGAAGACACGGTGACAATGGTTGTTGCTGGTTGTTTAGTTGAATTAAATTGTGCCGTAACTAAATGCAACGACGAATGTTATAATTATATATAGCAAAACACATTTCCCGTATCGTTCTTTTACCTGCCAGCCATCATATTTGCTCATAAATTAAAGGCTTTCGATAATTCATAACATATTTAAATAATCATTGTATTATTCTGATATTTGTGTCAATTACCTGGTTTCATTGAGTGTACATTTGCAGTTGTTGGGACTAAAGTAGTGGTGACAATTATCGTTGTTGGCTCTTCAGAGGAAATGGGCTGTGTAGTAACTAAATACAAAGTAACACAACACAATATGACATTAACATATTGCTACCTATTTACCAAAATGTTGGTTCTTCAGTAGAAATGAGGGTTGTCGTGCCTGGAATCAATAAACTATGCCATACTAACTACGCTTTTATTGTTTTATAATAATATTAGCACACTGCAATATACTGGTGCAATTATTCGTATTAAAAATAAACTGTAATATATCATTGTATTCGAGTTATTTACCTGGTTCACTTGTGATTACATTTGTAGATAGTGGTTCTGAAGTGGTAGTAAAAATAGTCGTTGCTGGTTCTTTGGTCGATATAGTAGTTGGATTGGCAGTGATAATGTTAGTCCTTACTTGCTCGGGAGAAATAGGTGTACTGCCTGGAAGCAGTAAATATTAGGTCGTTTATTAGAGTTTTATCATTTTATAGTAATCCTAGCATACTGAAATATACAGGCGCACTAATTTTAATTATAAACAATAATCTTTAATTTATCATTGTATTCTGCTATTTACCTGATTTAGTTGTGAGTAAATTTGTAGTTAGTGGTTCTGATGTAGTTGTAACAATGGTCGTTGTTGGTTCTTCAGTTGAAAGGAAAGATGATGTAACTAAAGGCAATGTATAAGTGTAATAGTTAGTGATCGCAATTTATTACCTGAATTTACACTACTTAATCGTACAAATAATATGCTTTCAATAGTTAAATAACTTTTTCAAACAACGCGTCCTTGCATAAGCCTAATATGCGGATTATTATCTGGGACTGAATTATGACGACAATGGTCTTCGTTTTTAGTGGAAATGGACCGTGTAGCAACTAATACATAAAGCAACTTTTTTACTTTATTTATTTTGAATATTTTCCTTCTACAGTTGTAAGTATATTTGTTGTTGGAAGTATTGGACTGGTGGTATCAATGGTAGTTGTTGGTTCTTTAGTGGATAAAGATTGTGACGGTACTAAATACATAAAGATAAAGTTAGGGAACAATCATCGTACTTGCGCAAATCAGCCGTTGACGTTACTTTATAGGCCACATTGATTGAGTGGCGCTTTTATTACATTGGCGGCACATTAATAACAGTAAATACAAGAATTTATACATTTATGGTACATAGTATACCTAGACATGCTAATGGCATAACTAGGCGAATTAGGAAAAATATGCTAGTTATTTTGAAACTGTAAAATAGACGGTTGGCGCAGAGATACCAATCGCTCAGCGAGTACCCAATGTGAAATAGCGTTCGCTTTCCAAGTACAATTTTTTTCTTTTTATAATTCCAAGATAAGCGAGGTATATCTCGACCATCCAATGACATATGACGTTTTTTTTCAGTAAAATAACACTTTCAACAATAAATACCCAGAGATCACAAAGTGACTGTACTCGTTAGTATTCATATACGATCCTGTTAGTCTGCAAAATCACTGACTGATTGAGGTTTAGTAAAACGATCCAACTACGCAGTGTCTTTTAACTTTTTGAAGACGTGGTAACAATAGCTGTTGTTGGATCTTTAGTTGTATTGAAATGTGCCGTAACTAAAGGCAATGGAGAATGTTATAGTTGTGTATAGTAAAACACATTTCCCGTACCATACTTTTACCTACCAGCCTTCATATTTGTTCATAAAGACTTTCGACAGTTCATAACATATTTAAATAATCAATGTATAATTCTGATATTTGTGTTAATTACCTGGCTTCTTTGTGTGGACGTTTGTAGTTAGTGGGACTAAAGTAGTGGTGACAACGTTCGGTGTCGGCTCTTCAGTGGAAATGGGCTGTGTAGTAACTAAATACAAAGTAACAGAACACAATGTTACATTAACATATTGCTACCTATTTACCAAAATGTTAGTTTGTCAGTAGGAATGAGGGTTGTTGTGCCTACTAAACTAGGTCTACTAACCACGCTTTTATTGTTTTTTAATAATCGTAGCACACTGCAAAATACCGGTGCAATAATTCGTATTAAAAAAAAAAAACTTGAATATATCATTGTATTCGTGTTATTTACCTGGTTCAGTTGTGAGTACATTTCTCGTTAGTGGTTCTGAAGTAGTAGTAAAAATGGTCGTTGATGGTTCTTTGGTCGATATAGTAGCTGGACCGGTAGTGACAATGTTAGTTCTTACTTGCTCAGTAGAAATAGGTGTACTGCCTGGAAGCAATAAATAATAGGTCGTTTATTAGAGTTTTGTTATTTTATCGTAATCCTAGCACACTGCAATTTACAGGCGCACTGATTTTTATTACAAACAATAATCTTTAATATATCTTTGTTTTCGTGTTATTTACCTGGTTCAGTTGTGGGTACATTTGTAGTTAGTTGTTCTGAAATAGTAGTAAGAATGTTGCTAGTTCTTTTGTCGATTTTAGCAGTGTCACAAGTAAAGGTATGATAAATAGTTGGTGAAAATAATTTATTACCTGCAACGCATCTTTCCTCATAAGCAACATACTTACTAACACATACATGCTTTCAATAGATCGTAATTTATTAGAACAATGCATGATTGCCTTATCCTATTTGTTTATATATATTTGTGTTAATTTCATAGCATGGTGTTGATTACATATAACGTGGTAGTAATGGTTACAATGGTAGTTTTCAGTTATGTGGTAGAAATAGATTGTGTACATACATAAAGTAACAACCATATCACAATATATTTCCTATACCTTATTGTCATCTCCTATCCAAAATACTCACTGGGAAATACATTTATTTTACAGTTTTAGTAAACTAATATAAATACTGTCAAACATTTAACAAAATATTCCATATTCTCTTACACATATTTATTTCCGAATGCATCTAACTCACTGGTCGGGTGCAGACTCAAGTTGCCAATCAAAATAGTTTGATTATGACTGATATGTGGTGGATGCCATAAGTTGAGCAGTATGTGTACACTAATTCTATGTAATGTATTATCTAAGTGCTCGCATACAAAATTAGGCGATTTCTTCACACGTGAACAGCCTAATGACACAGCAACAAATTGTGACATCATGACAATTGCGGCCAAATACTTTCAATATATATTCGTTGAAAAATGGCTTATATATGTGTGACAATGCCAGATAGACGGTTTTACACATATTATAAGTATATATTCCCAATACTCCACATTTATGTGACGTCACCTTGGCCGTGGGTCTCGTGTGACTCGATCAGTGTGCCGTCACATTTATTCGGATTACAGACAATTATACGAAATTACGAAAGCACTTCATGTGCAATCATATAATATCTAGAACATATTATTACAAAACAACAAGCAATCATTATTATAAATATATTTACCTGGTTTCGTTGTGATTACCTCTGTAGTTGGTAGTGCTGATGTGAAAATGGTCGTCGGTGACTCTTCAGTGGAAATTGAATTTGTGGTACCTAAGCATAGAAAGTAACAATTAGATTCATAAATTTCTTCTGAAAATTACTTCCAAAAATGATCAGCCAACATTGAAAGTGTCACAGTATTTCGTAACTAGTTTGCAAACAAGAATTTTTTTTATGATTTTTATGTGGAAATTTAACTTTTTCAGTTGTAAGTATATTTGTAGTTAGAGGTGCTGAATTAGCAGTGACAGTAGTAGTTGTTGATTTTTCAGTGGAAATCATTTTTGTAGTTACTAAATATAGAAAGTAAGAGTTAGTATATACTCTTATATCACTTGCAGCACATTACCACCCACAAATTGAGATGCTCATTCACATTTTTTTGAAAATGAAAATGAATTTCATGAAATGAAAAGTCTTGTGTCTTTTTTGGGAGTTAGGCATGTATTAACTGTTTTAACATATGTTTGCAGTGATGAAGTAAACCACACAAAATTGTGTTTTAAAGTCGCTTACCGTTTTCAAGGCAAATATAAATTGATAGTGTCATATATAATCGCACATATTTTTGGTGACACAATGAAAGGAAATAAATTTTATATTAATTGATTAATCGTTACACAGATTGAGTTCGTATTGCAAATATAAACGGATGGTGATTTTCTGGTATGAATACACACAATATTTCTGTGATACAAAATATGAACTTAAATCTTAGAAATTACCTGACTCAGTAGAACCACTATTCGTTGTGATTGGTGCTACTTCCGTGGAAACGAAGCAGCCAGCTGAAATTATTAAATTACATGGTCATTGTTGAGACGTGACTGAATACATGGTATCGATGACGGAATATACATAAATGATATAATCAATATCTTAACAAAACACTTACGGATTGGTGTTTGGCATATATATCCTCTCTTTGCATTGCAGTTGTTATCATCCCACTTGTATGCGCGTTTCTTCCTGAAAAAAACAAAAACAAACACATTAACAATTGTGTCTCTCTTACCAGAATTACAGAATCTATTATTCGAAAACTTGAATGAAAACAATCATTTTCCCGAAATTTATAAATATTGGTTTCAAAAAATCATTGTGAAAGAAAATTTATGTTATTGCATAAACACAATATTTACTTAGAGAAGAACACATTTTTAGATTAATCATGAATTGAAGAAAACCCGTTGTACTGTCAGGTCGTTTATGAATCATTTCGATATTTGCATTATTCTTAAGGAGAACATGTACAGACACTTTTGTACGGCGGTTGATGATATTCTAATATAAATATAGTAACAATACTCTTTTACTCTGGCATGCGTTATATTTATAAAGTATTTCAAAGCTTACCACACTTGTACGCAGTCTTGTCCTTCTCCGGATTGTTGTACTTTATTATTTGGCTCTCCTTTTGCCCACGCTGTCCACCCAAATACATCTCCATTTAACCATTCAAATGTACCTTCTGTAGACAGGTCATTAAGCCCTATCCAATACCCACGCACACCGTTATCGAAATTACCGTTCATGATAAATGTCCGAACGTTTTGGAAAACTGACTGAGTATGCAATGAAGCCAGCACCCCACCCATGAACTCACATTGGCTTTTAGATGCATGCCACGTCCTTTTTTCGGTACCCACGCTGTATCTGTTGCAGTTTACATCAATGTATGGCGACCCTGAAACGAACACAGCATCAAATATTGTGTAACATACGTTCTCATGCGTCCACTTGACTCAGTTATGGGTACATTTATTAGAAGTTAGTGGTTCTGAAGTAGTATAGACAATGTTTGTTGTTGGTACCACAGTATAAAAGAATGACGTGATGACTAAAATCACATGGTTTTCATGATGTCAAGGTTAATTAGAGCACACCACTTTATATAGAACAATATTATCATATAAGTGGTATTTACCTGGCTGTGTTGTGACTTCACTTGTTGTTGGTGGCATGGTAGATATAATGGTCGCCATTGGTTCTCCAGTGGTTTTATGTGATGTAATTCCTGTCATTACGTATACACGCATGTGAACAAAGAACAATATGGAACAATATCATTGTATCTGTAGTCTTTATCTGTTGAAATGCTTTTTTACAGATAAGCATGAATCTTTATATTGCTATATTTGTAGTTAATGGGACAGAATTAGTTGAGACATTATTCGCCGTCTTTCAGTGGAAATTGAATGCAAAATAACTTAAGACATAAGTAGACACTGTCAGGTAGAGCATATAGTGTATAGAGTTATAGTGTATCTATACTATATTACTACTCCCTAACCCAAATGATCACACACGTATGAAATGATTTCAGTGTTTCGTAACTATTTTTTATACTACAACTGTTTTATTTAATTTATTTATATTATTTACCTTGCTCAGTTGTAGTTCTTGGACTGGCAGTGACAGTGTTAGTTCTTACTTCCTCGGTATGAATAGATGTAGTGCCTGGAAGCAATAAATAATAGGTCGTTTATATATGCAGGCGTACTAATTGTTATTACAAACAATAATCTTCAATATATTCTTGTATTCGTGTTATTTACCTGATTCAGTTGTGGGTACATTTGTAGTTATAGGTTCTGAAGTAGTAGTAACAATTGTAGTTGTTGGTTCTTCAGTTGAAAGGAAAGGTTTCGTAACTAAAGGCAATGTATGAGTGTAATAGTTGGTGATCGCAATATATTACCTGAACTGTGTTGTTTCCGGACATTACTTACAAATAACATGATTTCAATAGTTATATAACGTTTTTAAAAAAACGCATCCTTGCATAAGCCTAATATGTCTTATTATCTGTGACTGAAATTGTGATGACCATCGTCGTCGTTTTTAGTGGAAATGAATAGTACAGCAATTAATACATAGAATAACTGTTTTACTTCATTTATTTCGAATATTTACCTTGTTTAGTTGTAAGTATATTTATAGTTGGAGGTATTGGACTTGTGGTATCAATTGTCGTTGTTGGTATCTTAGTGGACATGGATTGTGTGGTTACTAAATATATAAAGATAAAGTTAGAGAAAAATGATCCTACTGGCGCAAATCAACCGTTTCATTATATGCCACACTGATTGAGCGACGTCGTTTTTACAGTGGCGACACTCAAATATTGCATCTTTTATTAAATGTTATATTGCGTATTAATAACAGTATAGAATATATACAAGAATTTATAAATTTTTGGTTCATAGTATACCTATACATGCTATTGATATAACTGGACAAATGATGAAGAAATATGCTAGTTATTTTGAAACTGTAAAGTAGACGGTTGGCGCAGTGATACCAATCTCCTGTTGGGTGAAGAGAACCTTTGGGGCACTGGATTGAATCCCGCGCAATGAGTACTCAGTGTGAAATAGCGTTCGCTTTCGGAGTACAAGTTTTATTTTGTTTTCATAATTCAAAGATAAGCCAGGTATGAAGGTTTTCTTCGTAAAATAATACTTTCCCGCAATAAGTATCCAGAGATCACCAAGTGGTTGTACTCGTTGGTAATCACGTGCGATCTTGTTAGTTAGTATAGTAATTGTACTTTCAAATAATAATCGTAACTGACTGAGTGATGTTTACTAAAACGATCCACCACACAGTGCCTTTCATATTTCAACTTTTTTGTAGACGTTATGACAATGGTCGTATATAATTGTACTTTCAATAATAATCGTAACTGACTAAGTGATATTTAGTAAAACGATCCAACCACGCAGTTCCTTTCATATTTCAACTTTTTATAGACGTGGTGACAATGATCGTTGTTGGTTCTTCAGTTGTATTGAAATGTAACTTTACTAAAGACAATGGCGAATGTTATAGTTATATATAGTAAAACACATACTTGCTAATAAATTAAAGGCTTTAGATAGTTCATAACATATTTAAATAATCACTGTATTATTCTGATATTTGTGTTAATTACCTGGCTTCGTTGTGTTTACGTTCGTAGTTGGAGGGACAGACGTAGTGGTGACAATTATCGTTGTTGGCTCTTCAGTGGAAATGGGCTGTGTAGTAACTAAATACAAAGTAACACAACACAATATGACATTAACATATTGCTACCTATTTAGCAAAATGTTGGTTCTTCGGTAGAAATGAGGGTTGTTGTGACTGGAATCAATAAACCATGGCATACTAACTACGGTTCTATTGTTTTATAATAATATTAGCACACTGCAATATACTGGTGCAATTATTCGTATTAAAAATAAACTGTAATATATCATTGTATTCAAGTTATTTACCTGGTTCACTTGTGAGTACATTTGTAGATAGTGGTTCTGAAGTGGTAGTAAAAATAGTCGTTGCTGGTTCTTTGGTCGATATAGTAGTTGGATTGGCAGTGATAATGTTAGTCCTTACTTGCTCGGGAGAAATAGGTGTACTGCCTGGAAGCAGTAAATATTAGGTCGTTTATTAGAGTTTTATCATGTTATAGTAATCCTAGCATACTGCAATATACAGGCGCACTAATTTTAATTATAAACAATAATCTTTAATTTATCATTGTATTCTGCTATTTACCTGATTTAGTTGTGAGTAAATTTGTAGTTAGTGGTTCTGATGTAGTAGTAACAATGGTCGTTGTTGGTTCTTCAGTTGAAAGGAAAGATGGTGTAACTAAAGGCAATGTATGAGTGTAATAGTTAGTGATCGCAATATATTACCTGTATTTACACTACTTAATCGTACAAATAATATGCTTTCAATAGTTAAATAACTTTTTCAAACAACGCATCCCTGCATAAGCCTAATATGCGGATTATTATCTGGGACTGAATTATGACGACAATGGTCTTCGTTTTTAGTGGAAATGGACCGTGTAGCAACTAATACATAAAGCAACTTTTTTACTTTATTTATTTTGAATATTTACCTTCTACAGTTGTAAGTATATTTGTTGTTGGAAGTATTGGACTGGTAGTATCAATGGTAGTTGTTGGTTCTTTAGTGGATAAAGATTGTGACGTTACTAAATACATAAACATAAAGTTAGGGAACAATCATCGTACTTGCGCAAATCAGCCGTTGACGTTACTTTACAGGCCACATTGATTGAGTGGCGCTTTTTTTACATTGGCGACACATTAATAACAGTAAATACAAGAATTTATACATGTATGGTACATAGTATACCAAGACATGCTAATGGCATAACTAGGCGAATTAGGAAAAATATGCTAGTTATTTTGAAACTGTAAAATAGACGGTTGGCGCAGAGATACCAATCGCTCAGCGAGTACCCAATGTGAAATAGCGTTCGCTTTGCAAGTACAATTTTTTTGTATTCATAATTCAAAGATAAGCGAGGTATATCTCGACCATACAATGACATATGACGGTTTTTTCAGTAAAATAACACTTTCAACAATAAATACCCAGAGATCACAAAGTGACTGTACTCGTTAGTATTCATATACGATCCTGTTAGTCTGCAAAATCACTGACTGATTGAGGTTTAGTAAAACGGTCCAACCACGCAGTGTCTTTTAACTTTTTGAAGACGTGGTAACAATAGCTGTTGTTGGTTCTTTAGTTGTATTGAAATGTGCCGTAACTAAAGGCAATGGAGAATGTTATAGTTGTGTATAGTAAAACACATTTCCCGTACCATACTTTTACCTACCAGCCATCATATTTGTTCATAAAGACTTTCGACAGTTCATAACATATTTAAATAATCAATGTATAATTCTGATATTTTTGTTAATTAACTGGCTTAGTTGTGTGGACGTTTGTAGTTAGTGGGACTAAAGTAGTGGTGGCAACGTTCGGTGTCGGCTCTTCAGTGGAAATGGGCTGTGTAGTAACTAAATACAAAGTAACAGAACACAATATTACATTAACATATTGCTACCTATTTACCAAAATGTTAGTTTGTCAGTAGGGATGAGGGTTGTTGTGCCTACTAAACTAGGTCTACTAACCACGCTTTTATTGTTTTTTAATAATCGTAGCACACTGCAAAATACCGGTGCAATAATTCGTATTAAAAAAATAAACTTGAATATATCATTGTATTCGTGTTATTTACCTGGTTCAGTTGTGAGTACATTTCTCGTTAGTGGTTCTGAAGTAGTAGTAAAAATGGTCGTTGATGGTTCTTTGGTCGATATAGTAGCTGGACCGGTAGTGACAATGTTAGTTCTTACTTGCTCAGTAGAAATAGGTGTACTGCCTGGAAGCAATAAATAATAAGTCGTTTATTAGAGTTTTGTTATTTTATCGTAATCCTAGCACACTGCAATTTACAGGCGCACTAATTTTTATTACAAACAATAATCTTTAAAGATCTTTGTTTTCGTGTTATTTACCTGGTTCAGTTGTGGGTACATTTGTAGTTAGTTGTTCTGAAATAGTAGTAAGAATGTTGCTAGTTCTTTTGTCGATATTAGCAGTGTCACAAGTAAAGGTATGATAAATAGTTGGTGAAAATAATTTATTACCTGCAACGCATCTTTCCTCATAAGCAACATACTTACTAACACATACATGCTTTCAATAGATCGTAATATATTAGAACAATGCATGATTGCCTTATCCTATTTGTTTATATATATTTGTGTTAATTTCATAGCATGGTGTTGATTACATATAACGTGGTAGTAATGGTTACAATGGTAGTTTTCAGTTATGTGGTAGAAATAGATTGTGTACATACATAAAGTAACCACCATATCACAATATAATTCCTATACCTTATTGTCATCTCCTATCCAAAATACTCACTGGGAAATATATTTATTTCACAGTTTCAGTAAACTAATATAAATACTATCAAACATTTAACAAAATATTCCATATTCTCTTACACATATTTATTTCCGAATGCATCTAACTCACTGGTCGGGTGCAGACATAAGTTTCCAACCAAATTAGTTTGATTATGACTGATATGTGGTGGATGCCATAAGTTGAGCAGTATGTGTACACTCATTCTATGTAATGTATTATCTAAGTGCTCGCATACAAAATTAGGCCATTTCTTCACACGTTCACAGCCTCATGACACAGCAACGAATTGTGACATCATGACAATTGTGGCCAAATACTTTCAATGTATATTCGTTGAAAAATGGCTTATATATGTGTAAAAATGCCAGATAGACGGTTTTACACATATTATAAGCATATATTCCCAATACTCCACATTTATGTGACGTCACCTTGGCCGTGGGTCTCGTGTGACTCGATCAGTGTGCCGTCACATTTCTCCGGATTACAGACAATTATACGAAATTACGAAAGCACTTAATGTGCAATCATATAATATCTAGAACATATTATAACAAAACAACAAGCAATCATTATTATAAATATATTTACCTGGTTTCGTTGTGATTACCTCTGTAGTTGGTAGTGCTGATGTGACAATGGTCGTCGGTGACTCTTCAGTGGAAATGGAATTTGTGGTACCTAAGCATAGAAAGTAACAATTAGATACATAAATTTCTTCTGAAAATTACTTCCAAAAATGATCAGCCAACATTGAAAGTGTCACAGTATTTCGTAACTAGTTTGCAAACAAGAATGTTTTTTTTATGATTTTTATGTGGAAATTTAACTTTTTCAGTTGTAAGTATATTTGTAGTTAGAGGTGCTGAATTAGCAGTGACAGTAGTAGTTGTTGATTTTTCAGTGGAAATCATTTTTGTAGTTACTAAATATAGAAAGTAACAGTTAGTATATACTCTTATATCACTTGCAGCACATTACCACCTACAAATTGAGATGCTCATTCACATTTTTTTGAAAATGAAAATGAATTCCATGAAATGAAAAGTCTTGTGTCTTTTTTGGGAGTTAGGCATGTATTAACTGTTTTAACATATATTTGCAGTGATGAAGTAAAACACACAAAATTGTGGTTTAAAGTCGCTTACCGTTTACAAGGCAAATATAAATTGATAGTGTCATATATAATCGCACATATTTTTGGTGACACAATGAAAGGAAATAAATTTTATATTAATTGATTAATCGTTACACAGATTGAGTTCGTATTGCAAATATAAACGGATGGTGATTTTCTGGTATGAATACACACAATATTTCTGTGATACAAAATATGAACTTAAATCTTAGAAATTACCTGACTCAGTAGAACCACTATTCGTTGTGATTGGTGCTACTTCCGTGGAAACGAAGCAGCCAGCTGAAATTATTAAATTACATGGTCATTGTTGAGACGTGACTGAATACATGGTATCGATGACGGAATATACATAAATGATATAATCAATATCTTAACAAAACACTTACGGATTGGTGTTTGGCATATATATCCTCTCTTTGCATTGCAGTTGTTATCATCCCACTTGTATGCGCGTTTCTTCCTGAAAAAACAAACAAAAACAAACACATTAACAATTGTGTCTCTCTTACCAGAATTACAGAATCGATTATTCGAAAACTTGAATGAAAACAATCATTTTCCAGAAATTTATAAATATTGGTTTCAAAAAATCATTGTGAAAGAAATTTTATGTTATTGCATAAACACAATATTTAATTAGAGAAGAACACATTTTTAGATTAATCATGAATTGAAGAAAACCCGTTGTACTGTCAGGTCGTATATGAATCATTTCGATATTTGCATTATTCTTAAGGAGAACATGTACAGACACTTTTGTCCAGCGGTTGATGATATTCTAATATAAATATCGTAAAAATACTCTTTTACTCTGGCATGCGTTATATTTATAAAATATTTCAAAGCTTACCACACTTGTACGCAGTCTTGTCCTTCTCCGGATTGTTGTACTTTATTATTTGGCTCTCCTTTTGCCCACGCTGTCCACCCAAATACATCTCCATTTAACCATTCAAATGTACCTTCTGTAGACAGGTCATTAAGCCCTATCCAATACCCACGCACGCCATTATCGAAATTACCATTCATGATAAATGTCCGAACGTTTTGGAAAACTGACTGAGTATGCAATGAAGCCAGCACCCCACCCATGAACTCACATTGGCTTTTAGATGCATGCCACGTCCTTTTTTCGGTACCCACGCTGTATCTGTCGCAGTTTACATCAATGTATGGCAACCCTGAAACGAACACAGCATCAAATATTGTGTAACATACGTTCTCATTCGTCCATTTGACTCAGTTGTGGGTACATTTATTAGTAGTTAGTGGTTCTGAAGTAGTATAGACAATGTTTGTTGTTGGTACCAAAGTATAAAAGAATGACGTGGAGACTAAAATCACAAGGCTTTCATGATGTCAAGGTTAATTAGAGCACACCACTTTATATAGCACAATATTATTATATAAGTGGTATGTACCTGGCTGTGTTGTGACTTCACTTGTTGTTGGTGGCATGGTAGATATAATGGTCGCCATTGGTTCTCCAGTGGTTTTATGTGATGTAATTCCTGTCATTACACGCATGTGAACAAAGAACAATATGGAACAATATCATTGTATCTGTAGTCTTTATCTGTTGAAATGCTTTTTTACAGATAAGCATGAATCTTTATATTGCTATATTTGTAGTTAATGGGACAGAATTAGTTGAGACATTATTCGCCATCTTTCAGTGGAAATTGAATGCAAAATAACTTAAGACATAAGTAGACACTGTCAGGTAGAGCATATAGTGTATATAGTTATAGTGTATCTATACTATATTACTACTCCCTAACCCAAATGATCACACACGTATGAAATGATTTCAGTGTTTCGTAACTATTTTTTATACTAAAACTGTTTTATTTAATTTATTTATAATATTTACCTTGCTCAGTTGTAGTTGTTGGACTGGCAGTGACAGTGTTAGTTCTTACTTCCTCGGTAGGAATAGATGTAGTGCCTGGAAGCAATAAATAATAGGTCGTTTATATATGCAGGCGTACTAATTCTTATTATAATCAATAATCTTCAATATATTCTTGTATTCGTGTTATTTACCTGATTCAGTTGTGGGTACATTTGTAGTTATAAGTTCTGAAGTAGTAGTAACAATGGTAGTTGCTGGTTCTTCAGTTGAAAGGAAAGGTTTCGTAACTAAAGGCAATGTATGAGTGTAATAGTTGGTGATCGCAATATATTACCTGAACTGTGTTGTTTCCGGACATTACTTACAAATGACATGATTTCAATAGTTAAATAACGTTTTTAAAAAAACGCATCCTTGCATAAGCCTAATATGTCTTATTATCTGTGACTGAAATAGTGATGACAGTCGTCGTCGTTTTTAGTGGAAATGAATAGTACAGTAATACATAGAATAACTGTTTTACTTCATTTATTTCGAATATTTACCTTGTTCAGTTGTAAGTATATTTATAGTTGGAGGTATTGGACTTGTGGTATCAATTGTCGTTGTTGGTATCTCAGTGGACATGGATTGTGTCGTTACTAAATACATACAAATAAAGTTAGAGAAAAATCATCCTACTGGCGCAAATCAACCGTTTCATTATAGGCCACACTGATTGAGCGACTTCGTTTTTACAGTGGCGACACTCAAATATAGCATTTTTTATTAAATGTTATATTGCGTATTAATAACAGTATAGAATATATACAAGAATTTATAAATGTTTGGTTCATAGTATACCTATACATGCTATTGACATAACTGGACGAATGATGAAGAAATATGCTAGTTATTTTGAAACTGAAAAGTAGACGGTTGGCGCAGTGATACCAATCTCCTGTTGGGTGAAGAGAACCTTTGGGGCACTGGATTGAATCCCGCTCAATGAGTACCCAGTGTGAAATAGCGTTCGCTTTCGGAGTACAAGTTTTATTTTGTTTTCATAATTCAAAGATAAGCCAGGTATGAAGGTTTTCTTCGTAAAATAATACTTTCCGCAATAAGTACCCAGAGATCACCAAGTGGTTGTACTCGTTGGTAATCACGTGCGATCTTGTTAGTTAGTATAGTAATGTACTTTCAAATAATAATCGTAACTGACTGAGTGATGTTTACTAAAACGATCCAACCACGCAGTGCCTTTCATATTTCAACTTTTTATAGACGTGGTGACAATGGTCGTTGTTGGTTCTTCAGTTGTATTGAAATGTAACTTTACTAAAGACAATGGCGAATGTTATAGTTATATATAGTGAAACACATACTTGCTCATAAATTAAAAGCTTTCGATAGTTCATAACATATTTAAATAATCACTGTATTATTCTGATATTTGAGTTAATTACCTGGCTTCGTTGTGTTTACGTTCGTAGTTGGAGGGACAGATGTACAGGTGACAATGTTCGTTGTCGGCTCTTCAGTGGAAATGGGCTGTGTAGAAACTAAACACAAAGTAACAAAACACAATCTTACATTAACATATTGCTACCTATTTACTAAAATGTTGGTTCTTCAGTAGAGATGAGGATTGTTGTGACAGGAATCAATAAACCATTGCATACTAACTACGGTTCTATTGTTTTATAATAATATTAGCATACTGCAATATACTGGTGCAATTATTCGTATTAAAAATAAACTGTAATATATCATTATATTCGAGTTATTTACCTGGTTCACTTGTGAGTACATTTGTAGATTGTGGTTCTGAAGTGGTAGTAAAAATAGTCGTTGTTGGTTCTTTGGTCGATATAGTAGTTGGATTGGCAGTGATAATGTTAGTCCTTACTTGCTCGGGAGAAATAGGTGTACTGCCTGGAAGCAGTAAATATTAGGTCGTTTATTAGAGTTTTATCATTTTATAGTAATCCTAGCATACTGAAATATACAGGCGCACTAATTTTAATTATAAACAATAATCTTTAATTTATCATTGTATTCTGCTATTTACCTGATTTAGTTGTGAGTAAATTTGTAGTTAGTGGCTCTGATGTAGTAGTAACAATGGTCGTTGTTGGTTCTTCAGTTGAAAGGAAAGATGTTGTAACTAAAGGCAATGTATGAGTGTAATAGTTAGTGATCTCAATTTATTACCTGTATTTACACTACTTAATCGTACAAATAATATGCTTTCAATAGTTAAATAACTTTTTCAAACAACGCGTCCTTGCATAACCCTAATATGCGGATTATTATCTGGGACTGAATTATGACGACAATGGTCTTCGTTTTTAGTGGAAATGGACCGTGTAGCAACTAATACATAAAGCAACATTTTTACTTTATTTATTTTGAATATTTACCTTCTACAGTTGCAAGTATATTTGTTGTTGGAAGTATTGGACTGGTAGTATCAATGGTAGTTGTTGGTTCTTTAGTGGATAAAGATTGTGACGTTACTAAATACATAAAGATAAAGTTAGGGAACAATCATCGTACTTGCGCAAATCAGACGTTGACGTTACTTTATAGGCCACATTGATTGAGTGGCGCGTTTTTTTACATTGGCGACACATTAACAACAGTAAATACAAGAATTTATACATTTATGGTACATAGTATACCTAGACATGCTAATGGCATAACTAGGCGAATTAGGAAAAATATGCTAGTTATTTTGAAACTGTAAAATAGACGGTTGGCGCAGAGATACCAATCGCTCAGCGAGTACCCAATGTGAAATAGCGTTCGCTTTCCAAGTCCAATTTTTTTTCTTTTTATAATTCAAAGATAAGCGAGGTATATCTCGACCATCCAATGACATATGACGTTTTTTTCAGTAAAATAACACTTTCAACAATAAATACCCAGAGATCACAAAGTGACTGTACTCGTTAGTATTCATATACGATCCTGGTAGTCTGCAAAATTGTATATCACTGACTGATTGAGGTTTAGTAAAACGATCCAACCACGCAGTGTCTTTTAACTTTTTGAAGACGTGGTAACAATAGCTGTTGTTGGTTCTTTAGTTGTATTGAAATGTGCCGTAACTAAAGGCAATGGAGAATGTTATAGTTGTGTATAGTAAAACACATTTCCCGTACCATACTTTTACCTACCAGCCATCGTATTTGTTCATAAAGACTTTCGACAGTTCATAACATATTTAAATAATCAATGTATAATTCTGATATTTGTGTTAATTACCTGGCTTCTTTGTGTGGACGTTTGTAGTTAGTGGGACTAAAGTAGTGGTGACAACGTTCGGTGTCGGCTCTTCAGTGGAAATGGGCTGTGTAGTAACTAAATACAAAGTAACAGAACACAATGTTACATTAACATATTGCTACCTATTTACCAAAATGTTAGTTTGTCAGTAGGAATGAGGGTTGTTGTGCCTACTAAACTAGGTCTACTAACCACGCTTTTATTGTTTTTTAATAATCGTAGCACACTGCAAAATACCGGTGCAATAATTCGTATTAAAAAAATAAACTTGAATATATCATTGTATTCGTGTTATTTACCTGGTTCAGTTGTGAGTACATTTCTCGTTAGTGGTTCTGAAGTAGTAGTAAAAATGGTCGTTGATGGTTCTTTGGTCGATATAATAGCTGGACCGGTAGTGACAATGTTAGTTCTTACTTGCTCAGTAGAAATAGGTGTACTGCCTGGAAGCAATAATTAATAGGTCGTTTACTAGAGTTTTGTTATTTTATTGTAATAATAGCACACTGCAATTTACAGGCGCACTGATTTTTATTACAAACAATAATCTTTAATATATCTTTGTTTTCGTGTTATTTACCTGGTTCAGTTGTGGGTACATTTGTAGTTAGTTGTTCTGAAATAGTAGTAAGAATGTTGCTAGTTCTTTTGTCGATATTAGCAGTGTCACAAGTAAAGGTATGATAAATAGTTGGTGAAAATAATTTATTACCTGCAACGCATCTTTCCTCATAAGCAACATACTTACTAACACATACATGCTTTCAATAGATCGTAATTTATTAGAACAATGCATGATTGCCTTATCCTATTTGTTTATATATATTTGTGTTAATTTCATAGCATGGTGTTGATTACATATAACGTGGTAGTAATGGTTACAATGGTAGTTTTCAGTTATGTGGTAGAAATAGATTGTGTACATACATAAAGTAACAACCATATCACAATATATTTCCTATACCTTATTGTCATCTCCTATCCAAAATACTCACTGGGAAATACATTTATTTTACAGTTTTAGTAAACTAATATAAATACTGTCAAACATTTAACAAAATATTCCATATTCTCTTACACATATTTATTTCCGAATGCATCTAACTCACTGGTCGGGTGCAGACATAAGTTTCCAACCAAATTAGTTTGATTATGACTGATATGTGGTGGATGCCATAAGTTGAGCAGTATGTGTACACTCATTCTATGTAATGTATTATCTAAGTGCTCGCATACAACATTAGGCGATTTCTTCACACGTGAACAGCCTAATGACACAGCAACAAATTGTGACATCATGACAATTGCGGCCAAATACTTTCAATATATATTCGTTGAAAAATGGCTTATATATGTGTGACAATGCCAGATAGACGGTTTTACACATATTATAAGTATATATTCCCAATACTCCACATTTATGTGACGTCACCTTGGCCGTGGGTCTCGTGTGACTCGATCAGTGTGCCGTCACATTTATTCGGATTACAGACAATTATACGAAATTACGAAAGCACTTCATGTGCAATCATATAATATCTAGAACATATTATTACAAAACAACAAGCAATCATTATTATAAATATATTTACCTGGTTTCGTTGTGATTACCTCTGTAGTTGGTAGTGCTGATGTGAAAATGGTCGTCGGTGACTCTTCAGTGGAAATTGAATTTGTGGTACCTAAGCATAGAAAGTAACAATTAGATTCATAAATTTCTTCTGAAAATTACTTCCAAAAATGATCAGCCAACATTGAAAGTGTCACAGTATTTCGTAACTAGTTTGCAACAGATTTTTTTTATGATTTT